GGAGGGAGGGAGGAGGGGAGGGGGGACGAAGGGAGGGAGGAGGGACCCGTGGGTGAAAGAGGATTCATTTGCGGCGCGCGCTAATTGGCTCGCGATTTCTCTGCGCGAGCGGACCCTCACCGCCACGGACATTCGTCACGTTTGCCCCCGTCACAGTGGGGCTTTCTGTCTTTCCAGTGCCCCCGCCGCCGTGACGCGGAAACAAGGCGACGCACTGTGCGGTTCCATCGCCGAGCAAATCGCCCGTCCGAATTTACGCGACTTTTTCCTCCATCCGCTCCCGCGTCTCTCCGCGTTATCGCACGCTTAATCTCGTCGCGGTAATGCCGCGCTGCTACCGAGAACATCTTGGGTGGATACGAGGATGGGGACCGTGAATTACCGCATTAATAATCACGCGTCTCTTTCAATTGATTTACAGAGGAAGGATTTCTTCTAATAGACGAGAGACCCTTATGGCGCGGATGAAGAGACTAATAAGTTACTCGAGGAATTGCGATAAAACGCGAGATGGAAAAGTGGCCCGCCAGTGATTAATCCAGAGATTTGCACGTGTGTCACTTCCTTGCAAATATTTAGTAACTTTAAAAATCAAGGATAGTTTGTTCATCAGCGGCAAAATTCGAAAACAATGGTATGCGGAGAATCGCGCGCGCGCGCGCGCGCGCGTTTTATCTCGTGAACTCGTTAACTTCGTGAAATTCCTCGGCTAGAAACCGTCGCGACGCGTGTCTCGCCTATTAAGGCCGTCGCCCACACGCTCTCGGTCATCTTCGAGGTTCCCGTCTCGCGGAAGTTGTCCACCAGCGATAACGGCGAGCGATATATCCAGTCGTCGACGCGTCGCGGGGTAAGGCGTCATCTCCGACGAAAAAAAAAAGAGAAAAAAAAACGGCGACATTCTTTTCGCTCTCGCTCCGAGTCTCCCCCCTTCCGTCTCGATCACGTTTATCGCGTCTCCCTTCGTGCCGCGGCACTCGCTTCCGGCGCTTCCGGTGTCACACGCCGTTGAGCACGCTCCATCCCTCCCAGGCGGCCTATGTACGTGTGTAAGGACCGCGTCCGGCAAACCAGAAAGCATCCTAATTGTTGGTACAACACCGGCAGTCCCCCTCCGCGGCGGTGTCTTCATTGTCTCGAGGGAACCGCTCGCGTGTGTGGGTTCGTGTGTTTGCAAGCGGCCACCCGCGGTTGCTTCCGACGGGAGCAACGCTGCAGCGAAGAAAGTACGAAGAAGTCTTTTCTGCATTTGAATTTTTTTCCTTGCGAATATCGATGCCTAGATCCTAGATTTCTAAGATCATCGATCATCGAAATGTGATATACGACCTGTCGAAATGTTGTGTACACCGCCCGATCACGAATGAAACGTGTTTCAATCTCGATCTCGCCGATTACGCATGGAAAATCGCTCGAAGTAATCTATCCAAATTACGTTACATAATCCTTTCGGATCTATGTATCGGTATATCGTTTAACGACCGAATATTGTCCACGATGCTCGCGAGGGATATTGAAATTAATTCAAGATGCCCCAATTGCCATCTATGTGTTAAAGAATGAAACTTTCTCCGTTTCAATTAATCGACCAATTAATATCGCTCAAACGAAACAAGTCGTAAAAATCTGTTGCAAAAATCTGCCGAGTGACGATAAGCCTATCAGCAATATATCGACATATCGAGAAACAGATTTGCTCTTATCGTGGCGGCCGTGTTTTAGAAGGCTGTCGCAGCGATTTCGCGGCGCATTGCGGCGTTCGCCGTGCGGCGCGGGCGAGGGATAATAAATTAATGAGTGCTACTCACGTTGTGCAACTTGTAGTAGAGCCCGCAAGCGTTGCAGACCGGCTCGCCGGCCTGGTTCCTCCGCCAGAGGGTCGTGGTCGCCGTCTTGCAGTTGGCGCAGCTGGTGCCCGCCCGTCTCGCCGCACTCTGCAGCGACAGTTTTGGAAAAGAGAAGACACAGATATCACACCCGTCACGATGGCGTTTTCGGACGATCGTCGCGCGATCATCCCGGCCAGATTTAACCTTAGCAATATACGATAAGATACCTTCGGTAACTTCGATTATCGCAATATACTTTTGCTCCATATTATGTTTTACGTTTTATTAAGTATTTTTCTTCGATTGACAAGTAAAGAATTGTATTGTTTTTTTATATTAACAAGATAAATGGTAAAATGTTAGCGATAGAAAGTATAAAGATTTCATATTGATGATGCTAGGGTTAGATCTGTTTGTATATCAATGAAATTTCGTAGAATCAAGAGTTCTTTAATTTTTTTATTAGCAGGTATTATTTGCGAAAAAATGACGAGGAAATATTATCATGATTAAATATTCTGTATAAACACAGCAGATACGTTAAATTTACGTTTTATTTTCCGTCTTACTAATTGTCAAAAGGGAACAAATCTCATTGTTACATCAGCTCTTATAAATGCACACCAAAAACGACAGATAGATATCACATGTTACACGCATATGCATATAAATCTGAAGTACCGTTTTAAACTGCTTCTCGAACAAATTGCTTCGAGAAACACGCGGTGCATGGAAATCGCGATCAGACTCGCACCATACGAGAAAGGATTATAAGACACGCGGTGGAATGAAATACTTTCTTCAGGATATACTCGAATCTCCGTCTACTCCCACGCCAGAAGCGCATTCGATCTGTCGGCTTATGCGCGGAATCAAAAAGCCACAAGCTTGACGCGGGTTAGCGTGACACATCAACCCCTCAAAATCCCTCCCTGGCTGTCTGCTTGCCTGCCTGGCCTGGCCTGGCCTGGCCTGGCCTGGCCTGGTTGTCGGTCCGTCGGTCGGATCGACATATCCTATGTGAAAAAGAGAGGAGAATCGATAGCGAGGAGCGAGAAGCGAGAAGCTTATCGTAAGAAAGCGGCCACCTCCCATTCTCGGGGAGTGGGAAATTCGAAAACTCCGGCCCCGCGTACACCTGTACACCCTCGTCGACGTATATGCGAGTGGCAAACACTTAACGAAAAGGAACGGGGATCCGTTTTATCTCTCGGGGACTAACCGCGGCTTATTTCTCCCGAACCGGCGCGAGAGACACACTTTTGTAGAGAGCGGTGGAGAGGGAACGGGAGCAGGTATCCCGCCGCCGCTGTTGGATCCGTATTATAATGCCCTCGTCTCCGATCCCTCTCCGATATACCAGTATCCACCTTTCACTCCTACCCTCGTCCCTCTCTCTCTCTGATTCTTCCTGTTGAACCACTTAACCGTTAATGGATGATACTGTTACGAAAACTGTGTGCGCCGCAGGTAAATTTTAGGCGCATCGCGCAATGGATGAGGTAAATTGATGAACGATATTATTTAACTCTTTTCTGATTACCCGCTTCGAATTATATCTTCCAGGCATTCAACCTAATGAGCTGCGTTTCTCAAGAATTTCCCCATCTCCCCGTCGTTTGAAATTATTAGTTAATTTTATTAAAATATATCTTATCGCGCCCTTGAACTTACATGTATCGTTTGTAATTCTGAATTGATGTCTCGTATTCGTGTACGAATAAATATATTTTATTTACACGTTACGTCATGTTGCTTAAAATTTAGCGCGTGCAACTGATAAGACGACTACTTAACAAAATCGTTCACTGTGCCAAGATAATGGCGATGACGACGCGCATAAGATGTTTCTTTTACGAAAGGCGCCCACCTTTGACCCTCCACTTTCGCCCCTTGTTCATCCCTACTCACAAACCACTTAACCCCCCCCAAGATGACACTGCACTCGGAAAGGCAGGGCACCATCGAGCGAAACTATACCTGCGTCATTGTGTCGGCGAAAACACAAAATACAGGGGAACCTCCCGCCTGCCGACTCGTATAATAGCGAGCTTATTGAAATTTCTTTGAGTGAGAGGGATAGCACGCGTGTCCCCTGCACAGGACACATAAAACTACCCTCCTTTGATCCGTCCTCCCATACGTTGCGTCACACACAATGAAACTTTGAGACAGTACCAAACCAGAGTGGTCTACCGTATTTTTACTTCTTTTTTAAAACGTTTTTTATTTTTTTTTTTTTTTTTCTAGATCCCCCTCTTTCAATCGCAGTCGCGCGTTCCATTCGACATTCGGGGACAAATTTGCGGATCAGTACGTGATCGAGTGCTCGCAGTTTCCGGGCTGGCGATTATTGCGTGCCCGATTTTATTGTAGCGAGTAAAAAAGTTTCAAAGATCGAAAGATACAAGCGGCAACTGTCAAATGTTACTACATCGCCAGAGAAATACCATTATCTTTCGCGAAGATCATTAAATTACTGTGAGACATTAACATTTTTTATTTGCCCATTTTTGACGCGCGATGAATTTACATTACCCCGGTAAAATCTATTGCTCTTCGATCCATTTTTGTCTCGACGTCCATTCGCGAGAACGGACCCTTGTTTACCTCGAGAACGAGGCGCAGGGGTCGGAAGGCACGGGAGGAAGGTTCGGGGGAGGGACGAGAGAGAAGGTAGGTACGGTGCGGTGTGTAATCATGTCTTATCTGGCGGATCTTATCAACCCTTGCGCGTAGCAAAAGGGGCCCGCGGGGTGCGCTCGTTGCGGGGAAAACCCTCCGCTCTGGAATCAATACGCGGAGAGCCACCTCATCAATATAGCCGCGTCGTTATCTGCTCTAGATCTTTGACACCCTCGCCCCTTCGGGCGAGAGAGGAAGAGAGGGAGAGAAGGGGGTTGGGACACTCCGAAAATCGCCGGCCAGCACCTACCGGCCATCACGTCGCGCGGCTAATGGTTATTAAACGAGAACGCGGGACGAGTTTCCAGATGAGCGGGTTCCGACTGTCCGGGGGATCATTAGCAAATGGAGAATAATTTCGACGACGGTGGAACATGGAATATGACGGTGCGCGCGAGTGCACGGAACGCGGCCTTCGCGAACTCTCCCTTTCTCTCGAGTGAAATCATCAAAAGCGATAGCACTTGCTCGCAAATATATACGAACAGCTTCGGTGTTCAATTTAATCTATCTCTTAACGTCTCAACTTAAGGCGCATACTCGACTCGTTGTTTGTAAGGTAAAAGTCCATCGTTTGTTACGGCACGGAAGAATTATCTCATCTGGTAAGCGATCTTGAAAAATATCGCTGGCTCGGGTCGCCCGACGTCGACGAGCATCCGAATGTTCCTTCGTGCGAGAACGACTGACTTGCCAGGCGGGGCACGGTCGTGTACGCATTGCTGGGCGATTAGATTCCTGAAAGTATTCGTTCTCCACGGTAAGTCCTGTCCCTGTCCGCAGGACAAGAGTCTCTCTCTCTCTCTCTC